TCAGTTTAAATCTGAAATCTGACTTTTGAATTTTAAGAAAAATTCATACGAATTTTTCTTAAAAATTTAAAAAGAAATGCTACGAGTTTTAATAAAAAATTGCTATGAATTTGATAGAAAACAGTTACAAATAATTATAATAACAAAGCCACAAGTTTTAGCCATAAAAATGTTACAAGTTTTAATAAAAAAAGTCACAAATTTGATAGAAAAAAGTCACAAATAATATAATAACAAAGCCACAAGTTTTACCATAAAATGTTACAAGTTTTAATAAAAAATTGTCACGAATTTGATAAAAATGAGACACAAATAATTCTAGTAATAAGTCACAGGTTTTAGCTATGAATTTAATAAGTAAAATCATGAAAATATTATGAATTTTAATAAAACAATGTATGAACAATTTTATTAACTAAAGTCTCAAATTTTTGTTATTAATTTAATGAGCAAAGCCACAAAATGCCATAAATTTTAATAAGATGATGCTACGAATCTGTTAAATAATTATGTAAACCAGTTTAATTTGCCAATGCTAGCTCAACAAAAATTTTATATAAAAATCTAATTCATCTTGGTTTAATTATTTTTTTTAAGAAAATTCAAATTAAAAATCCCACATCATTTATAATGGATAATAAAATAGATAATGAAATCTGTGAAATTGTAACATCTCAAAAAGGATATAATAAAATTAATGTGCGCGGTTATTTGATAGTAAAAGAAAAGGACCAAAATGATGTTTATTACTAGTGTTGTGAGAAAAGAAAAAGTGAAAATTGTAAAGGTCGAGCAATAATAAAATTTTCTAACAGTTCTCATTACCTTCAAAAACTTGTTGATCACAATCACTCTTCTCAAGCTACTGATGGTAATGTCGCAAATGCTGTAGCTCATATTAAAAAGCAAGCTAAAGAAACTAGAAAATCATTATAACTACCATTTCTGAAGAAGTTGCTACTCACATGCCAACACAAAATGCTTTTCGTGTAAGAATCAAACATGTTAGAAAAGCTGAAATGCTACCTGAATCACAATCTCTTGATGGAATTGATATTCAAGATTCCCTTTAGTATACATTAAATGGAAATCTTTTTTTAATAAAAGATTCAACTATTAGAGAAGAAAGAATTCTCTTATTCACAACAAAAGGAAATATTCATCATTTATCACAAGCCTCATTTTGGATAATAGATGGAACATTCAAAACAGTTCCAACAATTTTTTATCAGCTATATACTATCCATGCTCCTGTTGGTACTGATGATAATTATAGAATTCTTCCACTTGTTTATACACTAATGTCGAGCAAGACCAAAGATTTGTACAAAGCATTATTTCAATATTTAAATGAATTCTCTGAAGAAATCAAT